ATATATGGACTCTCCTGTTTCCTTATTTCCTGCAGACGCCTCAACAACGCGTTGCCTGAGATGACCTCGCTTTTTTACTTATCTAACTTATTTGCTAACGTTGTGTTGCTTTGATCCTGTACCGTCTTCAATACAATATTCGTTAAACTAATTGTGTCCAGAGATTAGCTGTTACCATTGATTGACACACTGGCCACTGGTTAGTTGTTGCAGCTGACAATGTACAGCTGAACGGGATGTGGCGATCATCCTGAACAAAACCTACTTTACCGGTCAGTCGATAGGTTCGAATAGGTCGAGCATACTCTTTGTTTTAAAATCCAACGTACGGTGTGTGACTTCCAATGTTCCGTAACACCGAAGCCTAACTTATTAACATTTGTGATTATGTCACCTTTAGCTGGAAAAAAAAACGAAGTTCCCATATTTGCATATTCCATTATTTGTCACGATTGTTCCTGTGATTAAGTCTGTCAGTGATATGACTCGTAGTTTAAAGACAGTCTTTAACATGGCCCCGAATTTGCCCAAAAGGACCGTCGGGGTGAGTCGCTATCGAACCCATATTATAATGAACATCGTCATATCTAAATTCGCCTACTAGATTTGTGGCAACGATCGACAAACTAGTTAGCAGACAAGTTTGTTTTTACCATGAGGGCAAGCTATTTATATACATCATATTCATGTGTCTTTCTGGGCAGATCTATGTCGGTTGGAGAAACTTTCTCTGCTTACTCCGTGCTACAGCCACCGTTCGACGCCCTATTCGGACTTATGATGGCAAAAAGCAATCAACGCCAACTGAACTTCTACAAAATGTAGTATGTCGCTTAATACCGAAGCCATTTGCGCTCGTAACCTCTTTCTGATTTCTGAGAAAGATTCATTAACTAAAGCGTCCCGTCAGTGTTTTTTTCTACGGGAATGCAACACATAGATTTTTTTTACATGTATGTTTGATCTATTTAAGTGAACTGCAGGCCAACCTACCTGCTGGAATCTATATTTGAACTAGTACCTTGCCGGAGTACCACATAATTTTCGCCCGCCCACATAATAAAATTCATAAAGTGCGATGAGTTAATCCGAATTGGCGTCACAAACGTGCAGGACTAAAATCAGGTTAGTACTACGTAGATAGCACGGCATCACGGTATCCCCTTGTAGTTCGTTCGATACTGTTATAACTTCATAATGGTTCAAATTTACTTAATGACTCGTTCCCTTTTTTACATGACTGCGTTCAGTTTCGTAAAACGTGCTTGAGGTCGGCAACAAAGCGGCCTGTGTTTCCTTCGCGTTAGAACACTGGATTGATGGCAGTAATGTATCTGGATAAGCCGCATCGTATAAGCAGTAGACCGACCGAAAAGGTCGTTCGCAATCCAGCTAGAGACGACTAGCCAAAAATTTGAGAATCGCTGACAGTATCGATGCTGCAGAGTACGTCTTATTTGAGAAAATTCGAAACACCCGTCTTAAAGTATTATGACTTTTTTATCATTTTAAAATTTAAAAAAAAAATTTAATTCGGGTTCGAGCTGCCGCTGCTAACTAATGACAAATGCCACTTTCCCTATTACTGATCAAGGACTCCGAGCGCAGCGTGACGCTGACGAGTAGGCAAAATGTCAGTAGTCCGCCAAAACGCAAAAAAATATTTTCGCATCCTTTCTGTTGCTTTCCTTCTAAAATGTTATATTAACCGTTTGTCCAGAAGAAACCATTGCCCTACAACTCTGAACCAGCTGGCGTCACATTTGCCCGTTAGGTCATGAGTGATCTATTTGCTGACGGCGAATAAGACCATCGAAGGATTAGACCCAGCCACATCTGTATATCGCACCCTAAACGCCTTGTCATCATGATATTTTTTGATGATGGGTCATCCTCTGTTGGATGTATGACTCCACAATCGATACCTTCGATTACTTTCTGTGACTAAGAGCTGGAGTGGACGTTAACGAGGGCCCCGACAGCGGCGGCAGTTGAAACTCAGCGGCGAGCACAAATAACAACAGCAACAGTAAGAAGATCGACAGCGACGGCGCGAATCATCGCCTAATCACCACTTCGGAGTGTGTAAAGCCTTTACCTTAACACATGCACATTTCTGCCAAAGAAACGTGAGAAAAAGATCACGAAAAACGTATTGAGCGTTGTGGATATATCGTTGTATTTATGTGACTCCGACGCAAAAGTTAAAAATCTGTAGTGGAAAAATCGGTGAGTGAATATAGGGATATTGACAAGAAGAATTTGAGGCTATGTGTATGACAAAAGACTACAATCCTATAGATCATAACGAGCGTCGTAATTATTTTGGTAGAAAGTCCAAGAGGTACAGAGTAAATGACGATCAAGGCTAGGTAATTTTCCGATTGTCAAGGTTCAATACAAGTTCATTCTTGATTATTATACGCTAAGAGCCACATTATATGTTGACCTCCCGGTCGACTTCAGCTATGGCAGTGTGGCTGTATAAAATACTCGATAAGACACAGTTGCTGTGACCTGTTCATTGCGGGACGCAATAACGAAAAAGGCAACAATATTAAAAGGAAAAAAAAAACAAAACATTGTACTCTAAGCTATTTATTGAGCCAGTGATCTACTTAAATATTATTCTGTATAATTATGAAAGTTATTTACTCAGTTGTCTTCATGAAGCGTAGGCTTCTATCGGTGCCCATCTCTGAAAACGTTCATATTTATATTATCTGCGAGGCTAGTCGATGCCTGCAATTGTTGACAGTGAGCCCGGACGGAAAAACGAATGCACTTTAACATTTATTGTTTGTTATATCAATACGATTTTGAAAACTAAATTTCTTCTAATATAATTCATTCATTCATTCATTCATAGCTTCACTTCATGGGCGCGTATACGCGTCTATACCGACAAAGGGCTATTTGCTCTATGTTTGCAGTAACGTTATACGAATGGGCAATTCCTAAATCTCCATTTACGCTGACGTGTCACACGACTTCACTATGATGTCGGCTAACGTGATACGCCCTCTATGAACTCTTTTTCGAAGGGCTGAATACACAGTCGAACTTGAAAAGGAATAATTTCGAATATCTTAACGAATGTATCTATAAAAGTTTGATTCTCGAAAGGTCGCATACCTCTTCAATAATAGGCTTCACTTAACCAGGCAGACCCTTTGCATTGATATAGCCGCTTTTCATTTCCCCGGGTTGGGGGTACAACTTTAAGTAATGATTGATTTCGAGGCGCCACGACTATTTATTCAATCACTTATCGAGTCGCTGATCATAATGTCATCATGTCCGCTTAGCGAGTTCTGAGAAGATGTCGCAAATATTTATTTGACCTATTATTATTGGTACGCAGCATTCTCATTTCGGCAGTTGCTGCGGTACCGATTGCGCCGTCCTTATTTCTGAATCTAGGTAGTTGGCTACGGCTAAATGAAATGATGGTAGAGCACTCAGGACAGCCGAAATTTTCAGGCAGCTGCCCTAATGACAGGCAGTAAAACGGGTCGATCTGTCATTGTAAATATATAAAAGTGATACGTGTACCTTTATATATGAGCATTACAGCCGTCGCTGATGCTTTTTGTTGTTGTTTTGTCGATTCAGAAGTCGAAATTGACGGCTGCGAAACGATGAAAATTTAGACCCAAAGCTCCGCGTGATTTCCAAGCAGATTTCACGTTTCCAAAAGCGGATTTACACGGGACATTATTGAAATGGAAATAAGCTAAAAATGGACAATCTGTGTAACACTTCAGAGAAATACATATTTTCATCATTTAAATCGCAAAGTTAATCTCTACGGAAGTTATCTGTACGGATAGACAGACGAAGGGATAATAACGACTATGCGAAGGATAACGGCGTAATTTATAACTAACTAATAGCTCCTGTCGATTAACGTGTTAACTATGAATGAACTGATCAAACGGCCGCCTATTAAATCACATTGGTTATATATGTGTATTATATTTATTAGGTTTTTCGTTATATATAACGTAAAATCTTTATATGTCGATGGCAGAACGCCAATATTTGAAGAGTGAAATCGGATAGGTTTCTTATTTTCTTCCTAATACCATCATTTCCTTTTCATAACTCTATTCAGGTAACGAACAGCGATTCCGCCACGACGCTGCCGCTGCTTCAAGACGACGATAGAACTTTTCATGTTCAACATGTGCCAATTTGTACTATAGATCTCGAATCTCTTATACACAGTCGATGTGAGGAGCAAGTGCTAGTAAATCTCCGCTAATTTTTGTAGCTCCAGCGAAGACTTAATTTTTCATTTAGCAGGTTCAACAGGTTGACTTAGTTGAAGAGGCCGTTACCTAATGCTTGGGCGATCCCATGTTTTTCCAGTGCGTTTAATTACCTACTTTGCGATGAGGAATGCCTGATCGGGAAATTGGCTTCGGTTTCAAAAGCAGGCCAACGAGGCCACGAGGAAGATACTTGCTAAGCGACAAAAAAGAAGTCAACAATCATATCCTTCCTCTCTATATCCGCTTACGTCGGGTAAACCTTAGGGCTTAGCCGCCTCACAAGATGATCAAAATCGTTCCCGTAGATTCGATCTATTGGGCAACTGTAAGTCAGTCGCGTGTATCGTCACCGTTCTCGAGACGGTGAATAGCGTCGTGTAATCTCGGAAACAGCGTTTGTGTATCTCTTGTTCGTTGTCGTTTGATTGTTATTTGTAATCAAATGACAACGGTCTGGTCTTTGACAGAATGGCGGAGCACGACTCCAGCCCGGAAAGAAATGTCCGAAAAGTTGCAGTGTGTCGCCATTGATAAGCATTCCGGAACGCGGGGGGGAATATTGGCATGAACTTCTACATAGCACATACGGGACTTGCGCTGTTAAAGAAGCAGGCCTCGAATCCTGTACTCTCCCCTACACGGCTGTCACCCTCTCCCCACGATCCATGAAATTTTGTGTTTACATCAGACTCTTGCTGATTCACTTCGGTGTAGCGCGTCACAGGAGATGGAGGATGACCGATTCGTGACGCTGTGCTTAGATGGCGCGTGTGTCTTGAAGTGTGTGCAATTTTTTGATTATAAGTGATGAACGAAAACGGCTTAAGTGAGAAAAATCTATGAATAACTATGTTTCATCGATATCATTTTGACAGACAGGACGTAAGTATGCTTTTAGGCATTCACTTTTGAAGAAGTTGACCAGGCTGGGGGGTTTTACGTAGGAAATCCTGGGAATCGATAGTCATAAACACAACTGCCTTTAATAGGCATGGTAGCTTTATTCTACTGCTGGAATCAAATTTCGAACGAGGTCCTTACTGTTCTTTCTGGGACACACCTCCGCGCGTGTTAGGTATAAAGCGTAGATGCTTAACGTTCTCATCGGCTGTCACTTACAACTGGGCTAAACATTAGCGGGATGGCGAGATTCAATGTGCATTGAAAAAAGAGATCAAAAGTGGTCTTTTTGACAAAATAGATCTTTGATGGAGAAATATGGTGTGGCCGGGGGAACAGGGACGAGGGACGTTTATTTATTAGAAATAATAAAAAGTATTATTGTGGCTACTTCTCTGTAGACGTAATGTATAGATGCTGGCGTTCCTTATGGTTTCGCACAGTCTATCAAACTAAGTTAGCTTTATTCACTATCAACCCTTTATCGAACTTTAAAGTAGCTCTAGCGAATGACGTTATTGACAAGGTCGTTATGACCGTCTCGACTATGTACTTCTTACGAGAGCGATGCGGGTTATCGTTACAGGGGGCCGCCGGTTCCTCAGAGCTTATAATACGGCAATATATATTTTTCGAAAGCCAATCGTTTCATATGTGCGCCTATTCGTTTCAAAGTAGGTAAAAGGGAAAATCAGAGAGAGAGAGAGAGAGAGAGCGAAAGCGAAAAGTACGAACGGACGGACTACTAGCGGCCCTCGAGTAGATATGTGCCGCATATGAGCGCCAGCCTCTTTTTCTGCCCCCTCGAGTCTAAGGAGGCAATGCAAGCCAAACCAAAGTGAAGTCACAGAAATAGGTAGTAGACAGACAGGCGGGAAGCCTGTTAGGCCGCACTAGCAGTCCGCTCTTCGGCAGCTGCCTCGTCAGCTTCGCAGCACCAGCGGAACT